TCTCCGACTCAGGATTGCTAGCTTGCACGTTGGAAAGGAAGAAAAACATGCTAGCTTGTACTTCTCCAAAGAGAAAAAGAATTTGTTAGCTTGCATATTACAAAGAAAAGCAAACATGCTAAACTTGCACATCTCTAAAATTTGTTAACTTGTATGTTCTAAAATTATGCAAAACTTGCTATCTTACTAGCTTGCACAATTAAAAATTTGCTAGTTGTACTTTTATCCTTTTTTGGATGACAAAGGAGGAGAAGGTATAATGATAATTTAAATCATACATGATACTATACACTTTAATGTTTTGAAATTATGATTATGCATGCAATACTCATGATTTTATTATGATGATGTATATGATGTATTGCATATGATGTGAATCATAATTAAAATTGCTTTGACTTAAATTCAATTTGAAATAAATGATCATTTCAATCTGACATATTGATAGAAAAAGTTTAGTTTAAACTCAGTCATCAATTGATTATCATTATAAAAAATGAGAAGATTGTTGAATCTCAGATTTTGATGATGAAACCAATTAATGAGTTTACAATCTAATTTATGTTTTAAGTGACGCAGGACTAACTTTGATCAGAAAAGACAAATCGATTAAATCAGGAGGAATCAGACGTTGGGTCAGAGTGGAACATGTCAGAAGATTGGATGTCGGGCCGAATGATTGGTCGATGCATCGGTAGAAGGCTTGGTGTCATAAGTTCGGGTATTGAGTCAAAGGATCGGACATTACGCCAAAGAGATCAGAAGTTGCGGGAGTCAACATGCCAATTGGACAATACGTTGAAAGACATGACGATGCACCGAAGGATCAGATGAAGCTCCGAATGAACCAATGACATGCCAGACAACATAGGATTCATGCTTATAATCGTGTGTCTAGATCGAGTTAGTTTAGGACTAATTAAGTCAATTTTGGGATGAAACAATGTCAACTTAATTAGGGGCCAATTAGGCCTGAATCAGGGTTGAATTGGGCTTATTGTTTGGCCCATTCAGTGACCTGTAGTAGGGTCTAACAGTGGTACCGCCAGACCGGGTGTTGGTATCGCCCAGACATAGTCTCCCAGACTATGTCAAGTGGTGGTATCGCTAGTCTAGGCGGTGGTACTGCCCAGACACAATTTCCCAAACTGTTAAGCGATGGTATTACCAAACTGGGTGATGGTATCACCTAGTATTAATGTTGTAGGTGGTAATATTGCCCAACACAAGTTATGGTACCACTAGGACCCGGGAAACCCGAGACGAGACATTTTTTGGCTCTATTTTTGAAGTCATTTGAGATCTATAAATACCTCAGATATTTCTGCTTGGCTAAGCACAAAATTGAGCTGAAATGAGGGAAAGAATACTTCAGAAAAATTAAAAACTCTCTTAGAATTTAGAGTCCCTTCCTCCTAGAATTAGAAGTTTTCTAAGGGAGGAATAAGGTCTAAAAGAGGTGTAAATGTTCTTATTGAATCTCGGATTTTGATGACAAAACCAATTGATAGTATTTATCTGATCTGCATTTTGAGTGACGTAGGAAGCTTCGATCAGGGAGAGATAATTAAAGCAGGAAGAATCTTGTTGGGTCGGAATGAAATATGTCAGAAGATTGAACGTCGAGCTAGAGGATCGGTCGACGTATCGGCAGAAGGCTTCGGGCCATGGGTTCTGGCATCGGGCCAAGAAGAGCGAAAATTACGCTAAGTAAATCAGAGTTACAGAGGTCAATGATCGATTGGGCAATATGCCGCAAGAGATGATGATGCATCGAAGAATCAGATAAGGCGTCGATAAACCAATGACATGCCGGACAACATTTGATTAGCTTTGTAATAATTATATAGATCGAAGTAGGTTTTAGGCGTAATTGGGTTAGAATTGAGCTAACTCAATTAGGGGCCAATTAGGCTCAAGTTTGGGTTGTGTTGGACCAAGTGAAAGACCCAAATAATGATCCAACATGTGGAACTATCAATGGCACGGTCTCCGAGACTGTGTCAAGAGGTGGTACCGCCTAGACACAGTCTCCGAGAGATTGTCAAGCAGTGGTACCACCCAGTGGTAGGATATCTAGTGGTGGTATCGCTAGACTAGGCAGTTGTACCGTCCAGTGGCAAGATATCAGGCGATGGTACCGTTAGACTGGATGGTTGTACTACCTAGTGTCAGTGCTATAGGTGGTGGTATCACTAGTATCCCAAAAATCAGGAATGAGACTATTTTAGGCTCCAAGTTTGAATTCACTTAAGGCTTATAAATATCTCTCTCATCCCTGGTTAATATACACAAGAATTGAGAGAAAAAAGTAAAAAAATGCTATTGTAATCTTGTGAGAACTCCTCTCAAGCTCTAAGTGTTAATGTGGTTTAAGAGAGGAGTAAGTGAGGGTGTAAATGTTCTCTCCTGAACCTGTCAAAAGGAGAATTGAGCATAAAAAGGTAGTTGATCTTCGCCCGTTAAAAGAAGATTGGTAGTGGAAGCAAGTAGCTTTGAGTGAAGAGGAATCAAGAGTGGATGTAGGTCACGACGACCGAACCACTATAAATTAGTGTGCATTTATATTATTATCATTTACTTTGCAATTGTTTCACTTCCTCCTTACTTTTATTTCACTACGCTTACGAACAAGCATTCAATTTCAAGTTATCTTCTGAGATTAGTTTTTATCGTACGAAAATTTTAAACCAACATTTTTATCCACTGTACTAACTTACCTCATCCTCTTAGTGCCGACTCAATCCTAATAATTCTCTCCTGACCTTCACCCATTGAAAGAAGATCGGTAGTGGAAGCCGGTTGCCTCAAGTGAAGAGGAATTGTGAGTGGATGTAGGCAACGACGACTGAGCCACTATAAATTTAATTTGTATTTACTTTAAGCTTTTTATTTTCATTGCAAACTGATTCCTTACTTTCACTATGTTTACCAACGTGTTTTCAAGTTAATATCTTTCTGATATCGATTTTCATTGAACAAGAATTTCTAAACCGATGAATTTTTATATAAGCACTAATTTACTCTGACCCTCTTAGTGCCGACTTAGTCTTAACATTCAGGATTGGACAAATGATAGAGAATCTAATATCAACTAACATGTGATTGTCACGTAGGATCCAAATCACCCTCCCCCAACTTTCTAATGGATAAGATCCAAAACAAAGAAACACAAACTTTGTTCTCATTCATTTTGATGAGGAAGATAGTCATAAACTTATTCTTCTTCTTTATGGCAAAGAAGGAAATCTCAAACATTTTTCCCTTTTTTCAAGAGATAAAAATATATTTCAAACTTAATGAGGGGGCTCTTTTTTTCGAAAGACTCAAGCCCGCTTTAAGGGACCTCGGATCATTAACTTGAGCATCGGATGGATCAGATAGAAAAACCTTTCCTAATCTTAGTTCTTCTTAGAAGCGATATCTTGGAGTCACTCAAGAATTACCATTGATGAAAAGAATAGAAGATAAGAACAATTATTGAAGAAGCTTTATTGAAGTAATTTTAACTTTAATACATTAAATGTCCCTCTCCTATTTATACAGATTAGGAGGGAGGATTTTCCTCAACAGAATAGAAGGTTTCCCTCAGTAGAGAGATTTCCTCATATAGTTGAAGAAATCTTATCTGCTGCTGTTGTTGTTGTTGTTGCTGTTGTTGCGATTGCGATGGCGATGACTGCAGCAGAGGAGAAAGATGCAGCAATGGAAAAAGCTATAGCAATGCTGTAGAGGAATAAGCTACAGCAGAGGAGGAAGTTACAACGATGCTATAACAGAGGAGGAAGCTACAACAGAGGTACATCAGAAGAGGAAGCTACAATAGAAGAGGAAGCTGCAACGATGCTACAATAGAGAAAAAGGCTACAGCAAAGGAGGAAAGGTGGGGGCGGGGCAGTGCAAGTGAGCATAACACTAGAGATGCCACAGCGGAAAGGGAATGGACGTTGGAGCAGAGTGGCAGTGGAGAAGACAGTTGCCGTTCACCGAGAAGGAAAGATTTGTCACACCGACGGCCTGACGACAGAAAAGCAGTAGTAGAAAGCCTTTTCTTTTGTCGCACGAAGGTGAAGAAACAACAGTGATGAATCGGTAGCGAGAAAAGAGCTTGCTCTAGGCAAGTGACTCTGATACCATGATGGAAAGAATAGAAGATAAGAACAATTATTAAAGAAACTTTATTGAAGAAGCTTTATTGAAGTAACTTTAGCTTTAATACATTAACATGTCCCTCTTCTATTTATACAGATTAAGAGGGAAGATTTTTCCCAACAGAATAAGAGATTTTCCTATAAAAAAAGAGGGTGTTTGTATGTTATTTCTTCTAAAATGTCCTCTTCATTTTATATCTTTCCTTTGAAATGTAAGTAGAGGACGTGTGCTTCCTCGCTACTATTGAGAAAATTATCAAGATCTTAGTTCTTGTCATGGAGAGAAGAGAAGCTAAACCACATCCACGTTTGATTTTAATTGACAGGCACGTTGAGACGATCTCGAAACTGGACAAACATTAGACGCCATTATATTTATCACATCCAATCAAACATGATATGGCTCCTGCTTTATCCGCAGCGTCAGAGAGTGCAAGGAATCCGCTGCTGGCGTCCGCAAATCATATCCAGACACCACTACTAGATGTCTTGGTCTTCCGACCAACGCAGACGGGCCCCACCAAGCGGGCACCACATTTCACGTCGCCATACTCTGGCTTTAACACTTGGGGGCCCACCTCGGCGTATGATTTCTTGCATCCGATAAGGTCCAACGTACTGTGTGCTTTTCCCGGCGACCCGCGAAAAGGAATCAACGGCCGTGCTGTCGCCCCCAGTCTTCACTTCTTATCCGTGGACTGCCGTAGTCTTCTCCCCTTCCTAAACCTTTCCACCGTTCCCAACTCGATCATGGCAATTCTACCATTCCCAACTGCTGTCCACAATCACACAGCTATTTAAGAGTTCCCCCCGCTGCTCACACCCACGGCTCACTCTAAACCCACACAACATTTTCTTCTTGACCAGTAGCGCTCATCTTTTACTTCCCACTTAGAACGAGAAGTCACCGGTGATGGATGAACTGATAGCCGGGCTCCCGAACGACATAGCGCAGGAGTGTCTCATCCGCGTCCCCTACGACGGCTTCCCTACGGTCCGCTCCGTCTGCCGCCGCTGGAAGCAAGAGCTCCAATCCTCCCAATTCCACAGCCTCAGGAAGACCGCTGGTCTCACCAGACCGGTCATCGCCCTCGCCCAGGCCGAGCCGGCACTTGCCCCTACTGCAGGCCCAGCCAAGAAGTACACTGCCTCCGCCTCCCCCTCGTACCGCCTCGTCCTCTTCGAGCCCGTGACCGGCGCATGGAGCTGCCCGCCGCCTATTCCCGGCCTCCTCCGTGGCCTGCCCCTTTTCTGCCATCTGGCGGCCGTCGGCCGGGAGCTGGTGGTGGTCGGCGGGTGCGACCCGGAGACGTGGGCCGCCTCTGACGAGGTCCACATCTATGACTTCGAGGCCGGCGTGTGGCGTCGCGGGGCCCGGATGCCCGGCCCCCGGCGGTCCTTCTTCGCGTGCGCCGCGTCGGAGGAGCTCCGTGCCGTCTTCGTCGCCGGGGGTCACGACGAGGAGAAGAACGCGCTGCGGTCGGCGATGGCGTACGACGTGGTGGCCAACGCGTGGGCCCCACTGCCGGACATGGCGCAGGAGCGGGACGAGTGCCGGGGAGCCTTCCTGCGGGGCGCCTTCCACGTCGTCGGGGGATACCCGACGGAGGCGCAGGGCCGGTTCTCGCGGAGCGCGGAGGCGTTCCACGTCGCCTCCAGGCGGTGGGGCCCCGTGGAGGAGGACAAGCTGGAGGTCGGCACGTGCCCGCGGGCGTGCGTGGCGGGTGGCGACGGGCGGCTCTACATGTGCGGGCCGAGAGGGGACGTAGCGGCGCTTTCGGACGACGGGAGCGGCGCGTGGCGGGCGGTGGCGGAAGCGCCGGAGACCGCGAGGGTGGCGCCGCTCCTGGTGGCCTGGGAGCGGAGCCTGATGCTGATCGGCTCGGAGAAGCACGGTGGGGGCCACGTGGGGTACGTCGGGGAGGTGGGGGCGGGAAAGGGGGCGACGACGTGGAAGAGGGTGGCAATGCCGGAAGAGTTTTCGGGCCACGTGCAGGCGGGCTGCTCCATGGAGATATGAAAACTCGTATTTTTAACATAAGCTTTTCCCAAGTGGATTATGATGTATAGCTGCTACCAGATTTAATGGACATCTGCTATCAACTAGAGGTAGCGGAAACCATGCTTATGGCTTATGTCATGGCGGCTCATCGATCCCAGTCTTGATTGACTTGCTTGAATTGAAGTAAGGGATATTGAATAATGAGGCCACAAGAGTTGTTCTTTGGAAGAGGGGACACGAGTGGGACTTGTAATTACACAGTGACCGTCTGTCTCTGGAATGACATACGGAGGGTGGAAAACCGGTGCTATCGCCGGAGTATTATAAGGGTTATTTTTGTACGCCATTGCCTCAGCTCACTGTTGCACTGCCACGTATCATCTGCTCAAAGAGAGAGACCATAGATGGCCTCTTTCGAATTGTTGTTAATGTCATCCTCTCTTCCAGCATCCAGTCAGAGAACAACAACAAAACAATTCTAATCTCGCCTTTGTTTAAGGATCACTCACCTGATGGCTTGGCCGGCCCATTGGATCGGTTGCCGTGGCTTCGAAGGATGGTTTCAGTGGCCCTAATTCTTGTACTTGTTGGGACCATTCGACTCCTTTCGGCCGGTCATATGATGACTAGTTGTTATCCATCGAGACAGGCTTCGTTCGGGTCACGCAACACGCTGTAGAGGACGCAGAGCTCCTCGGTCCATAAATCTGCTGTCCTTAGAACTGAAAGTGAATCCGATAGATTTTAGCTGCGCACTCATTCTACCGTTGCTTCTGTAGGAAGAAATGTAGGCAATGTCAAACTTGTCTTTCTAATTTATTAACAGCGGACCTTGTCGCTTCGGGACAACTGCTACTTATCGACGCAGACATTGCCGTGTGGAGAATCATGGGATAAATAAAAAACGTAGATGTGGCGTTGACATTTGGCTTGCTGTCGTGGCAACCAAGGAATGGTTGGACCCCAGACAGGATCCTCAACCATCGTTCCAAGGTTTGACATTGTGATCCTCAAACTAATAATGCTCCTTGTTTTCCCATTGGTTTCCACAATCTACTGGAAATAGGCTCATGTTTTTTTTCAAAGAAAAAGAAATTTAGAAACGATGCTTTGGTCCTCAGTTACGAGGGGTAATGGTTGTGACTGTTTCAGCCTCACTATCGCATGTTCTATTACGGGCATCATTTTCATTGTATGAATACTGAGACCGAAAGGACTATGGGCACGAAGAACAAAATTGTGACTCAGAAACCACTACTTTAGAGCCAGAGTCACCTTCACCTCGAGGACGGACACATGCATCTCGTGAAACAAATGTGCACCGAGCAAGCAGAGAGGCTTCGGACGGGTTTCTTTCGGAGTCGGAGAGGCAGCACGAAAATTGGGGCTTCCAACTCTTCAATGGATGCCACGATTATTCATGCGCGAATCAATCAAAACCAAAGCAGGCAATCCTCGTTGGGTTCCTTTCGTGCTTTGCGACGACCAAGAAGTTCCCACGCCATCCATATGCCACACCACATTTGCCATCCTCCTGCGCTGCGTCATAGTCACGGCCAGCTCATCCACTGTAAGCCAGTTCTCCCCAGCACAGGAAGAACATGTGAAATCTGAGTTCGCAGGGACGGATGAGAAGATCTGCGATGGTATGTCAGTGTTATAAACAAAAGGGGAAAGCTTCGTCAGGGAGAAAATTCCTCCCACTGGTATCACCCTAAATCCTCGGGCTCTCCTCCTCTCCTTCATCCTGCATACTTAAATTCCCAATTTTTCAGACGGATAATAATGAATTAAGATATAGCCGACAGGTGGGACCTGATTCACTGATTAGAGAGAGAGAGAGAGAGAGAGGAACACTCCGTCCTGTCTTCCCGTGGAGATTACCATGTCTATAAGAAGCTTACGGAACCTCTTCCGTCACCCCAGTTCTAGATCATCGGTGACGCCGTATATAAACAAAACCCTCCTCCGTCATCGTCTCCATAGAAAGAACCTCACCTATTCAACTTATTATCTTCTTTCAGCCATTACCACTGTTTAAAAAAGCGCAAATTCTTTTTCTTCCTCCGTTTGTGTCTTTGCCTGTGTCAGAACCCTGTCGTGCCCTTGCTTGATTTAGAAACTGGTATGGAAGCCGAGCTGATGCCCGAATTGCCGGAGGAGATCGCCCGCGAGTGCTTCATCCGGGTCCCCTTCGACGCCTTCCGCACCGTCCGAGCCGTCTGCAAGCTCTGGAAGCACGACCTCGAGTCGCCGTCCTTCCACCGCCTCAGGAAGTCTGCCGGCCTCGCCCGGCCCGTCGTCGCACTCGCTCAGTGCGACCCCACGCCGCTCCCCGCCGACAAGGCCAAGCAGCAATCCTCCCACTCCCCGCTGCTCTATCGCATCTCGCTCTTCGAGCCGTCCACCGGCGCCTGGAGCTCGCCACCGCCGATTCCCGGCCGCTCTCACGGCCTCCCGCTCTTCTGCCAGCTGGCCGCAGTCGGGAGGGAGCTGGTGGTGGTCGGCGGGTGGGACCCACGCACCTGGGCCACCTCCGACGAGGTCCGCATCTACGACCTGGTGTCCGGGGCCTGGCGCCGCGGTGCCCGCATGCCCGGCCCGCGGCGCTCCTTCTTCGCGTGCGCGGGGTCGGAGGAGCACCGGACGGTGTTCGTGGCCGGCGGGCACGACGAGAGCAAGAACGCGCTGCGGTCGGCGCTGGCCTACGACGTGGCGGCTGACGCGTGGGTCCACCTGCCCGACATGGAGCGGCAGCGGGACGAATGCCGAGGGGTGTTCGCGCGCGGCGCGTTTCACGTCGTCGGGGGCTACCCCACGGAGGCGCAGGCGCAGTTCACGCGGAGCGCCGAGGCCTTCGAAGTCGCCGCCTGGCGATGGGGCGCCGTGGAGGAAGGGAAGCTGGAGGAGGCGGGATGCCCGCGGACGTACGTGGTTGGAAGCGACGGCAGGGCGTACATGTGTCGGCAGGGTGGGCAAGTGACGGTGCTGCGGGAGGAGGACGGCGGGGCGTGGCGGCGGCTGCCGGACTTGCCCGGTGACTTGCGGGCTGCGCTGCAGTTGGTGACGTGGGAAGGGGCCCTCATGGTGTTGGGCTTATGGGCAAAAGGTGGGGCCCAGGTGGCGTACGTCTTGGACCTGACAGAGGAGGGAGAGGGCAAGCGGCTGCAATGGCGGAAGGTGGAGACGCCGAGGGAATTCTCCGGCCATGTTCAAAGTGCGTGCTGCCTTGAGATATAAATTAATCATCGAACACTAGGGTGTAAATATTCTTTCTTTGAAAGTCGGTAGTTTTATTTTACTCGTATGTCGATCATCCTGTAACGACGACTCCAAGTCAAATTGAACAGCATTAACGTAGGCATCAATTTAATACAAAAATTTATGTTATTAGGTTATATAATAAATATAATATTTATAATCTGACTTTTTCAATCATTAATGATATAATCTGACTTTTATCATATGTATACATATATATATATATATTTATATATATATATATATATATATATATATATATATATATATATGTATATATGTATATATGTATATATGTATATATGTATATATGTATACATATGTATATATGACTATATGTATATATACATATATATATATATATGTATACATGTATACATATGTATATATGTATACATGTATACATATATATATACATATATGTATGTATACATATATACATATGTATACATATATACATATATATACATATGTATATATACATTTATACATGTATATATACATATATACATGTATATATACATATATACATGTATATATACATATATACATGTATATATACATATATACATGTATATATACATATATACATGTATATATACATATATACATGTATATGGTTCGCAATATCGTATCGGTGTTTCGATTTGGGCTCGATACAAGTACGATACAATATACCGAGCGGTACACCCAGATATACCGAACGGTATACCCAGGTGCACCGAGTACTGTAGCACTACTACAATGCATTATTACAATGTACTAGTGCACTGTACTATTACTATAATAGTGCACTGCAACAGTACTGTATTGTTGTAGTGCTACAGTGTATTGCAACAGTGCACTACTACACCGAGTACTGTAGCACTGCTACTGTGCATTATTACAATGTACTAGTGCACTGTACTGTTACTATAACAGTGCACCGCAATAGTACTGTACTGTTGCAGTGCTATAGTGTATTGCAACAGTGCACTGTACTGCTACAGTGCACTATTACAATCGGACCGGTGGTGAGCGATACGATTCGGTATGACATACCTTTTATATATATATATATATATATATATATATATATATATATATATATATATATATATATATTCAACATCTTTCAATCCGAGTGGATGGAGAGCACATTAGAAGTTTTACCAAAATGTTTAATGACTTCCTAGGCATTCTTTGAGCCTCTTTAGATAATTGTGTTCTATCCGAGAAGAGTTTAGAGGACGAGTTGGTCGAAAATCGAGCACTCCCCATTGGCCTTCAAAATTCTCGCACTAGTAGTCTTCATGAATCTCAGAGTTGTCACCTTCATGGTTGACACTTTGTACATTCTCTTTATCATATGCTACTATATCAACAATAATGACTATCTTATTATCTTTTCCTTTCATGAAAATAAATAATGACTCTCTCGAGGGAGATTGGCGATTGTCGATTGATCTTACTCATGAAGAAATGTTTAAAGTTATCATTGCATTGAACTTGCTCTCGATCCTCCAAACGAGAAGCCCGTAAAGCTTGATGAAAAGCTTTAGGGTTATTAGGTTATCTAATAACCTAAGAGCCTATAGATCATGCCAATTCAACCCAAAAGCTCAAGCTATTAGGTTATATAACTCAAAGAGTCATATATTTATGCGTTGCTTGATCATTTTATGTGTACTCAAAATAGAATTTTAATTGTTATACTTTATTATGATGATAAGCATATGTTATATATTACATACATTTAAAATTTAAATAAATTATTATGTTAGTTATAATTAAAAGCAACTAACCTTAAGTTTCTCGATGAATATTAAAATAAAATATGTGAATATTTGAATTAACATATATCATATTGAAAATTTTAAGGTCAATGGAAGATTATGTGAAATTTTAGAAATACAGAAAATTTAATTATCGAGAAAAAGCCTACAACGTGAGGATAGTAAATCGGAAGGAAAGTATTACTTATAAGGATGGTAAATATGAAGGAAATTGTTTCTTCCAAAATAACAGAATGTTATTGTATGATCCTTAGTAGTAGTCTAATGGGCTACCTTTGTACTCTCTGAAACAGTGAGTGCAGTCAAAAATTAGAGAGAGAGAGAGAGAGAGAGAGAGAGAGAGAGAGAGTGAGTGTGTGTGTGTTTCAGGATTAGAGATCTCTATAGGGGAATTTTTACGGTCCATAATACATTCCTTAATTAACAGAGAATCAATCTCTAGTATGATTACAGTGAAGCATTCTTGCGGCGCATGCGAGAGATGTCACTTAATAAACATAGTTTCATATAGATAAGTTCAAAATCCTTTTATATCGAACAATATTATCATGATCTCGAGCAATGAATCACATTCGACCGATGTGGAGAGAAGCTATCAGTGTCCAAATTTAATAGCACCAAGAGGAGGAGGCTTTGGACACCTAATGTCGATGTGATTGGTGACTCCCTTCGTATATGAATTGTTTGGCATAAAAGCTCGTATCTATATACCCTTGAAGTTGCACCTTTTGAGTTAGAAAGTTTAATCATTCCTAACTCTCCAATAGCCTCCCATAATATATTATTATTGGCAAGCAATGCCCTTAGAACCCCATAAGAATAATCCTTGCTCCTCTTTGATACAATAGCAATTTGAAACCTTGAGTAATATTTAACTTTTCACAAACAAATGTGACTATTGACCAAGTTGATGAAAAAAAAGGTGTTAATCAACTTGACTAGTAAAGATCTTAATAGTTTATTATAAGATTCTAAGTTTGAATTTATTCTCTAAACTAATATATATTTTTCTTTTGGATATTTTAGGCTAATCCAATTGGGTCGAGTCCTTCGATGGGCTTTGATTTATTAAAAAAAAGTTAAATATTACTATTAGAGTTGTGCACAGCGTCAGAGGCATGTGCACAAACGGTTGAAAGAGTGCCGGCGCAGGAAAAGATGAGGGAGAGTGGAGAGAGAAAATTAAGGTTTTAAGATTTTTGTTAGATGATCAAACGGTTAAACTTCATCGATTTTAGTCCAAATTTTATATGAAGAATTCTTTTAATAAGCTCTACAATCTTAACGGTGTCGATCTATAATTTATTTTCTTTAAAATATTTTTTGATATACTTACTTCATGAGATCTAAATATTTTTTTTGATAAAATTTAAATATGTTATTGTTGAACTAAGATATTTGTTTTTGATATTATCGTGATCATCTAGTTATTCTAAAGAAAATTTATTATAAATCTATTATTATTATTGGTGATAATAAATGTTAAAGTAGATTACAGTCCCATGATTTTTTTTATTAAGATTTTCATATATAAATTTGGTGTCTCATTCATTCATTGTTCTATTGTTCTTGTTAATATTTACTTTTATTAACAAGTTGATATTTTGATGAAAAATTTATTTTGATACACAGGAAATAAAATATTTCGTTACAATAATTTTTCCCAACATTAAGTAAAAGAGGATTTACCTCGACTTTCCACTTTATAGTAGAATCATGGGATAACAAATATTGAGAATTAGGTTTAGAAGAGATGTTAGACAAAGCGTGGGCTATGAGATCATACATGTAAAAAAAAAAATCTCAATTTGATTAACCTAAGTTATTGCATTGAACTTCTATGGGATATCTTACTTCAACTACTATAACAAACTCTTTTTGGGTGAGTTGCTTTTTTGAGATCTCAATTTTATCGCTTATTTCAGAATCGATTTTATCGAATGTGAAATCAGAATCGAATTGATTTTAGGTTATTTCAATTTAAGAACCGATAGTTTTAGTTCCAATTCTAAATTAGAATCATCTAGTTTATTTTTTTAAAATACCCTTATTATGATCACTTATTAAACTGTTGAAAGGGATCAATTCATTATTTGTAAGGGTATTTAGGTTTTGTTTTTTTCTTTAGTCGATTCGGAATCGAAACAGAACGAATGTGTCCGATTCCATATTTTAGAAACTAGAACGAATCATTAGAATCCGATTTGAATTTAATTTGAAGCCATCAAATTATTAATATGATTCGGTTTTGACTTGATTCGAACATAACCATGAATATTTAATAATAAATATCACGGAACAAAGCTACCCAGTGTCGCTGTAGGCATTACTTTTACAAAAAGGAAGGATAAGCATAAACAAAATCGTTGTAAGTGTTGGTGAACCTTATGCTGTGGCCGAGCGGTCTGTATGGTTTGATCCAATTGATGATGTCTACGATCGTCATGGGGATGAGGTTTTCATCTGATCAGGTCGAGCTCGGATTTGGTTGGGATGCGCCTTTTTAGTGAGCCTATTCGCCTTTGTTGCCGTCAGATTTCTACACACTGGCTTAGGTCGAGATGGGAAAGAGAATCCCGACATAGACCTCTCCAAAGATCAAGTTAGTGGAATTATTTTCCTAAGGTCCTTCACTTATCAGATGTTGGCAAGGGGCTTTTATCATAATGCCTGAGGATCAATCGTACGTGACCTTTGCATTGTGGTCGACTCCCCGAGCGGTGAGTTTGTACCTTCAGATATTCGTCGCTTGGGATATGTGGAACGGTGCCATACGACGTCGTTCCGAGCTTCCCGACGCGGTCCTTGTCAAGGCGATGCTAGTTAGTGCGATCCCAAACAACACGGGAGGAGAACAACCATCATCCCGGATTCCTAGCGACACATCCGATGCGGTGTTGTGTCTGCCTCCCGAGGCTCTGCGCTTGGGCTGACGTGATGGGGGGTCGTATCCATACGACGAAATTCATAATATGTTCTATCAGTACAATTTAGCAAAAATAGTAGCTGGAATATAAAAATTATATATCTCATATTAAGTTTGTACAAGGGGGTCTCATATATTAATTATTAACGTGATTCTTTATAACATATGTTATCTTAGCAAAGCCATATTTTAAGAAAAGACTAAATTTCAACGTTTTCCTGCAACTTTGTCCCGATTCGTTTCTTTCCGCATCTTCTAGAACAGCAGGCAGAGGAGAGAACAAATGCATTTGTTCTTCTCTCGCTCGAGCACTTTCCTCTCAAGACGCATGCATTATTCCATCATCACAGGACGAGGAGTATCAAATCACTACGGCAAGTTTGGAATACTCCACTGGAATTGAGCTAAAATGCTACGAACGCTTACGTCTCT